ACACTGTTCATTATGTTATCACACCTACCTGCCAGAATGACTGGACCAATTGACAGCTCTACCAGTAACACATTTGTGTCTGTTTACCTATAGTTCTTATACCTACTGTTTTTTCTTTTCTTTTTTTTTGATCATCTTTGCCAATCTTATAACTGTGAGGAGGGAATTCAGTTGCTTTAATTTGTATTTCTCCAATTATTATGATAATTTGGAACATTTTAACATAGGACTATTGATATCTTAGATGTCTTTGAGAATGCTTTTCATATCTTGTCATTTGGGGAATGTCTCTTTTCCTTGTAAATTTGAACCAGTTGTTTGTCTTGGAAATGTGACTGTTATCAAATACATTTTCTATAAAATTTCTTTTCCAGTTAACGGTTTCCCTTCTAATTTTAACTGCATTAGTTTTGTTTTTGCAAAAATTGTCCTTCTTTTTTGTGCTTCTCTCTGTCCCTACTTTTGTCACAATTTTTTCCTAAGCCACAGGTACAAAAAGTATTTCCTTTGCTGCTCATTTAATATGTTTATGATGTGACCCTTTATATCATAAATCCATTTGGAGCTTATTTTGGCATAGGGTTTCAGGTAATGGTCCAAATCTAATTTCTGTCAGACTTGTTTTCTAGATAGCTCTTTATTAACGGTATTTCATTGATTAAGTGTGATTTTTGATGAGCTTTGATTAACTGTGATAGGCATTGGGCGAAACTCTAAAGATATACAAGTAGAAGAGATGACATGTTATTCTAAGTCATTGCAATTTTTTGTATAAGTATCAGAAACATAAACAGTGTTTCAGCTCTTCAATGACTGAGGAGGTAAAAAATGATTTCATGAAACAGATGATATTGTTTGAGCTGGATTTTGCAGGGTTATCTGACAGGCAGAGGTGGAGCTACAAAAAGCATTCCAGACCAAGGTGGTGGTGGTTGTGGTGATGATGTTTTTTTTTTTTTAACATTTAACATCGCATTTCCCACACTCTGCCCTGCTCCTTCTGACTTAAGGAATATTGTGAGCAAAGGCTCGGAAATGGAAGTATGCAGGGCATATTTGTAAATAGCAAATAATCCAGCTGGACTGGAGTGTGGATTTTTGAAGGGGAGTTTTGGAAAATAAGGATGGAAAAGTATTAAAGCCATGTGGGGTGTCGGATATAAAACTAAGAAATTCAAACTTTATTTGGTAGGCAATGAGCCATTGAAGACTTTAACTTTTTTTTTTACCATTTAATTTAATATTTTTCCACAATGGTGGTAAATACTAAAGTATTTTGTGGCTAATATTATAAATTTAAGATATTTTCTGGTTTAAAAAATAAGTTTAATAGGAAAAGGCAAACCTGTCAGGTTTTTGCCTTTAGTGGGGCTGATAATGTTCACCTTTATCCGTTTTCTGAGCTTTTATGTCTTCCTATTCTTCGCTTTTGCTTTTTGAGACATCCGGGGGATCTCTGGTTTCTTCAACCGAGGATTTCTTGATCCATTCCTAGGGTCAAAGGTACGCACAATTTAATAACATTTAAGCATAGTTCTAACTTGCTTTTCAAAATGGCTATACCAATTTACAGCTCCACCAGCTGTGTATCATGTGCCTGTATTCCCGTAGCCCCTCCTTTTTTTCATTTTTCTTTTGTCATTCTTTTCAGTATGGTGGGTGTAAGATGGAACCTCAGAGTCTCTTTTATTATTACTGTGATTTCTCTAATGATTAGTGATGTGAAATATTTTTTTACATGAAAACTACCAATTCTTATCCTTTGACCATTTATCAGTTGGAGAATGGCTTTTATTCTCATAAATTTGAATCAGTTTCTTCTATGTTGTGGGAATGTGAACCTTATTAGAGAAACTTCCTTCAGTTGCCTATTATTGTTGAGTACACTCTGTCACTAACTTGTTTATAAAGAGTGGCAGTGAACGTAAAAGAGGATAGAGTGGAGGGAAACATACATTTAATAATCATAACCAAAAATGTGAATAGGATGAATTCACCTATAAAATGAAAGAGGACAGCAGGCTGCAAGAAAAACACTTGAAATGTGAAGATTTATACAGAGTTAAAAGAAGGGCCGGTCAGTCATCAGCATTTAGTAAACATCTGTTGTGTGCTATATACTGTATCAAGTGCTAGGGATACCAAAAAAGGTTAAAAACATGGTCCTTCCTTCCTTCCTTCCTTCCTTCCTTCCTTCCTTCCTTCCTTCCTTCCTTCCTTCCTTCCTTGCCCAGAGTCACACAGCTAGTAAGTATCAAGTGTCTGAGGTCGGATTTGAACTCAGGTCCTCCTGACTCCACAGCTGGTGCTCTATCCACTACACCACCTAGCTGCCCGCATGGTTCCTACTTTCAAGGACCTCATTTTCTAATGGTGTAGGACAACATGCAAACAATTATATACATACAAGATGTGTAATGTGTAAATGGAAGAGAATCTCAGAGGGAAGGTAATAATGATGAAGAATGATTTATATAAAGATAAGATTTAAGATGAATGTATTAATAATAACAGTAATATCACTAGATAGTAAAAAAAGCTTTTAAAATATAACACCCATTTCTCTTGAAAACACGAAAAAGTGTATACATAAGTGAATGTTCTTTTTTCTTTTTTTAATTAATTTTTAGTTTTTAACAATCACTTCCATAAGCTTTTGAGTTTTGAATTTTTCTCCACCACCCTCCCCAAGATGGCATACAATCTGATAAAGGCTTTATGTATACTTTCCTATTAAACATATTTTCACATTTGTCATATTGTAAAGAATTAGAACCAATAGGAGGAACCACAAGAAAGAAGAAACAAAACAAAACAGAAGAAAAAAGTAGAGCAAATAGTATGCTTTGATCTGCATTCAAAGTTCTTTGAATAGTTTTTTCTGTGGTTGTGGATAGCATTTTACATCATGAGACTTTTGGAGATATCTTAGATCCTTGTGTTGCTGAGAAGAGCTAAGCCTGTCAAAATTAGTCATCAGACAATGTGGCTGTTACTGTGTACAACAGTCTCCTGGTTCTGCTCACTTCAGTCAGCATCAGTTTGTCCAAGTCTTTCCATGTTTTTCTGAAGTCTGCTTGCTCACCATTTCTTATAACACAATAGTATTCCATTACATTCATATACCACAACTTGTTCAGCCATTCCTCAATTGATAGGCATCCCCTAAATTTCTAATTCTTTGACACCACAGAAAGAGTTGCTATAAATATTTTTATACATGTACATTTCGCACAAGGGCCAACAATCTATGTAATAGATAGATGCCAGAGTCAAAGATGTCTGTCATCGTCACTGTTATTTGATGTAGTACTAGACATTCTAGCTTATAGGAATGAAACAAGAAGAAATATTTGATGAAATAAGCACAGGGAACAAGTAAGCAAACTATGACTTTTTGCAGATGATATGATGGTTTATTGCAAGATCCCTTAACGTTTAGAAATAATCAAAAAACTTAATAACTTTAGCAGTGTTGCAGGATGTAAAATAAACCCACACAAATCATTAGCTTTTTCTCTATACTACCACTAAAACCCAGCAGAGAAAGGGAAATTCTATTCAAAATAAGTATAGCATATGTACTTACTACTTACAAGTCCACTTACTAAAAGATAACTAGCAGCTATATGACTATAATTATAAATTGATCTTTACTGAAATAAAGGCTTAATTAGAGAAATATTTTTATAGTTCAATCCATGTATTATAGTAAAAAATGATAATTATTCTTAAATTGATTTATTTATTTAGTCTTCCAAAGGATTACTTTATAAAACAAGAGGGAAAAATAACAAAGATCATGTAGAGCAGAGGTATCAAACTTGGGCTCAAACTGCTGGAGTATAGCTGGGATTAAATTGTAATTGAGATTAAAGTGTAATTGAGAAATATTTAACAAAATAAATAAAAATGCAAATAGATAATGTTAATTTGTGGTTTTCTGAGTCAATGTGCAGTCTGCAAGCAATTATTTCTATTTAAGTTTGATATAGAGGAACAGAAAAGTCAAATATTTCAAGGGAAATAATGAAAAAAGGTGGGAAGGGTACCTGGAAGTACTGTGTCTCAAATTATACTGTGGTAATCATCAAAACAATTTGGTACTGGTTAAAAAGTCAATGAGTGGATCATATTAGGTGTACAACATGTAGAAGCAAGCAAAACATAGAGGCATAGTATTTTATAAACTCTTAAGATGGCAACTATTGTGGTAAGGACTCATTATTCCACAAAAAACTGCTGAGGAAACTAAGAAAGCATTAGAAAACATTAGTATAATTAGTAAGTAGAAATGATACTCAAAGAATGAATCTTAAGATAGAAAGAGATATGACTGTGATCTGACAGTCATTACCTTGTAAAGGACTTCCATAGTGATAAGTTTTTGGATTTCATATTATATTTCGGAATATTTACAATTTCTTTTTTTCCCCTCTGTTTTAGCTTTTTTTCTGTTAACAGAAATATTTTCTCTTTCTGCACTGGGGGAAACAAATACACATCATCAAGCAAAACAAATTCCTTTGCTGTCCATGTCCAAAAAGTAAATGTCTTATTCTGCACCCTGAGACTGGTGCCTTCCAGGAGTTGTGGGTAGCATGTTTCACCATTAGTTCTTTGGAATTATGGTTATTCATTGCGTTATGGTGCTGATTTCTTTGTTAATATTCTTTTGCAAAAGCATTTATGTACCACCTATATAAATGTGTACTATTATTACTATTTGTAAGTTTTGTAGGCAAATTTAATAGTGGTCCCTCTCCCCCAATTTTGTCCTTTGTCCATAAAAGGGGAGGTGCTACTCTGAAAGTATAATTTTATTTTAAATAATATAATTAGTGATTTGGTGTGGGTTGGGTGGTAGTGTTAGATGGTGTAAATGCCTCCTTAAATTAAATTTTTGAAGTTGCCTGCCATATAAAACTTGAAAAAACTGCATTTCCTGGATTGTGAAAAATTAATTTCATCAATTAAAATATGTTCTTAAACAATTATAGATGGGGAACATCAAAGGTGATTAGGATCATGGCAGCAGATGATGAAAATGGTGATAGAACGGATTTATTTGATGTCCTCTTGGGTAAGAAAATCTAACAGTTAAGCTATTTTGAAATTTTGTTTTCTTGTTACAAAGTCACTGAGCGTTTTTATTTGAAAACTCATATTTTCACTTTTTAAACACATGCTTTGAAATCATCAGTTTTGACTAAATTGATAATAACTTTGTAATTTTCATTTGTTAAAATTGATATTTGCATATATGTATATTTGTTACTTTGAAAACAGCATTTTTAGCAAAGAGCTCAGTGGGGGAAATTTTTTTTTATGGTAATGAACCATAATGAAAGTAAATAACAAAAATGTCTAGTAGAAAAAAGCAACTTTGTTACTAGCAATATGAACATAATTTTCAAGTACTGTGTACATAAGCTTTCAGTTTTTTTGCACACTAAAATCTTAATCAGAATTTGAAAACATTAAAAACCAGTATAGGTAAAATGCTGTTATATCAAATATTAGAAAAAATAGTTCTGTATAGGAATGCTATTTCAATAGTATAAAGAATAATCCTGAAAAATACTGGTGTATCCTTTGGGCCAAATTACTATGTAAGTATTAGGCACTTAGACTCTGAAACTATAAAGAGCTTTCTTTTTAGTAAATGATATAGCAGAACTTTCCACAGCTTTATTTTTTTTGCCACTAAGTAACATTAATTATCAACCAGTTTCTCTCTGAAACTACACATCAAGGACTGGGCCTCCAGAACTTTGCTGAGCAAGAAGGCCATCTGTCATTCTCTTAGAAAGGATCATCTACATTTGTTGCCTTTCTTTGCTGATCTCCTACTTGCTTCTCCGTCTTTTCCAACATTTTGTACCCTTTCCCCATGATTGAAACGACTTTATAATTAAACTGTTAAAATCAATGGCCTCCTTTTTAGTCCTTGTTCTCTTTGACCTGTCTTCAGCTTTTGACTTTATTTGACCATCCCTCTGTTGGATACTCTCCTCTCTTGGCTTCTGTAACAATGCTCAGTCTTCCCCCCCCCCCCCCCCCCGGTCTGTTAGACTATTCCATTACTGTCTCCATTAACGGATCATCTCCTACTAGTTAAGCTTGAATGGTTCCCAAGGATGTGTCCTTGACCCATTTCTCTTAGCAATTTCATTAGCTTCCATGGGTTCAATTATCATCTCTATGTAGATGATTCATAAGTCTGTATTTCCAGTCCTAATGTCTCTTTTGGATCCATTTCCACACTGCCAAATGCCTGTTGGGCATATCCACCACTGTCCTTGTTTTTTGTCTTCCCAAGTTTGTAATCTTGAGGTTATCTTTGATTCTTCTCTTTTTTTGTCACTCCTCCATATCCAGACAGTTGCTAAGTCTTACTGCTCTTAAGCCTTCTTGGTGTCATGCTATTGTATCCTAGCTTGCAAATTCAGCTGAGCACTCCAGCTCTATCCTTAGGACCCTGAGCTTCTGATTGGTAAGGTTTCACCATTTTTTGCCTGACTGAATCAGGCCTCAGCTCCCTGGCCATCTTCAAGTCATGTCACTGTGTGTGCTACTACCACCCCCTTCTAATCCCCTTTTCACCTTTAGCTCTGGGAATAATAATCACTTAAATATTACCATTATGGGAAAGATTTGTCAATCACTTGCTTTATGACTTCATTTCACCATCTCTGTAACTTTGCTGGTCAGATTTCTCTTGCCACTCTTCACCTAAATGTGTTTTCTTCCCCCCATTAGAATGTAAGGTTTCTGAGGGTAGAGACAGCTTTTCTTTCGGTATTTGTATCTCCACTGCTTAGCAGATGTGTGGCATGTGCTGTGTGCTTAATAAATGCTTTTCTTATTCATACATTCTTTCTGATTCTATTTTTCCAACATTTCAACCTCTGTTCATCGCTGGCTACCAACCTATACATTATCTCTTGTACCAGTCCCCTCATTTGATCTCCCTCCTTTGTCTCTTCTGTCTTCAATCCATTCTCTACAAAGATGCCAAATTGATACTCTTACAACCAGGCCTGACCATGTCATCCCCTACTAAAAATTTTTCAGTGACTCTCCATTGCTTTTAGTGTAAAATATGAGCTTCTCAGCTTGGCATTTGATGATCTCCTTCATCTGGTTCTCACCTACTTTTGCAGAGTTACTTTTGTTACCCTCTTTTATGCTTTCTATGTGCTAGCCAAACTGACTAACTTGTCTTTCAGGCTCAATGTACCATCTCTGACTCTGCCTCACTAGAATATACTTTTATTCACTTCCTTCTTTTAGAATCCCTAATGTATTTCAAGACTTAGTTTGACTGCCACCATCTCCATGAAGCCTTTCAAGTTTTTAATATTTATCTATGTACATGTATGTTATATCCTTCAGTAGAATACAAGTTTCTTGAGGGGAGGGGCTGTTTTATTTGCATTTGTATTCATAGTGACTAACAGTGCCTATTACATAATGGGCACTATGCTTAACACTCAATAAATAAATGAATGAATAAATGGGCAATTGAATAGTGAGTGATCTTTATCTGAAAAATCTCAATCAACATTCATCCAGCATCTTGAGAGGTGTGAGGTATTGAAACTATGTACAATATTTATACCTCTCATTCACTAAAACTTTTTGCTTAATAATTTACAACTTAGATGTGAGGCGTTGACTTTCATTTATTGGATGGATCCAGTGATCTAGAGATTTCATCTTGATGCAGATCACTGTTTCTCTACACCTTCTCCTCCTACATAATATATTTGGCTTTACGTCAATTCTTGGCGGCGGATCCACCCAGTTCGCTAGAAGCCTAACCAGAAGAAGAATGGTTCTTCTCATGCCTTTTTTAAAAAAAATTTTTAAATTGGTACTTATTATTTTTATGTCGTCTTTATTTCTCACAGTGTCCATTTTCCTCTTATCCCCACTTAGCCATCCTTTGTTACAATAAATAACAAGAAAGAAACCATCCCTTGTAGCAACAACTAAAAAAGAGAAAAATAGTTTAGCAAAACCATCTAATAGATCAACAAAGTCTGGCAGTATATAGAACACATTATAATCATAGGTCCCCACCTTCGGAAAAAAGAGAGGGAGGTTCATTTCTCATAACTTTTCTAGGGCTAAGCTTTGTCATGATAGTTATGTATGTCATTCTGTTTCCTGTTTTATGTTTTTTTCGGGGGGGAGGGGTTTGGTTTATATTGTCATTTTGTATATTTTTTCCTGATTCTGCTTACTTTGTATATATGTCTTCCCATTTTTCTAAATTCTTTATACTTATCCCTTCTTTTGGTACAATAATATTCCATTGCATTCATCTATAATAATTTGTTTAGTTATTCCTCAATGTTGGATATCTATATTGTTTCCAGTTCTTTGCTACCACAAAAAGTTCTACTATGAATGTTATTTTTGGTTTATATGGAACCTTTATTTCTGTCTTTGATTTCTTCTCATCTCTTAAAATGATTTCTGTGTCATTTAGTTGCTAACATTCCACTGTAATATCATCGTGTTTATCTTATGAAATTAATCATACCAGGATTTTTACCTGTAATGAATGTTTTTCCCTTTTCTTTTTTTTCTAAGCTTCTAAAGAGATAGGACTAAGAAGGGAAAAAAAATTTAAATGTTTAACGTAGTAATGAACAAAAATCAAAAAGAACTTAGGCCAGGTTATAGACATAATTTCATGATTTTTTTAACATTCCAAGCATCAATATATGTTTTCCTTTTGGTCTGCAGTTACATATTTTACCTGCTTGTAAAGAACCCCAATAAATTGTCACTAGTGCTATTAAAAGGTAATAATTATAAAACATGTCTTAAAATGAAAGTAATTAAAGTAATCTACAGTAACAAGGAAAATCAAATTAGATACTATATATCATTTTGATCTCTTTGATTTTTCTCAAGATTGTTCTCAATTTATAAAGTAGTCATCGTAGAATGTGATATAAATATACATTCAAAATCAATATATATATAGCAAAACTATATAATTTGAATTATGGTGCTTTTCCGTTTCGGATGAAGAAAGTACAATTAAGAATATCATATATTAGGTAGAACTTGATTTGAAATATAGCAAGTTCTACACAATGTATGATATTCTTAATTGTACTTTCTTCATACCCCCCTCCAAAAAGTTGTAACAAGTAAATTCTTTAGCGTGTACATCAGTCAGATCAGTTCATAGGAAAGCCTCTTTTCTGTCTATATTGGTGTTGAACTTGTCTCCTCTCTTGACTGACAAAGAGGTTTTTTTTTCCTTTATAACCTTTTGAATAATAGACAGTTGTGCTAACTTTGTACTGAAAGATCATTGAAAAGTAAGGTTTTGACTGTACATTGCTTTTCTTTCCTTGCAGCTTCTCCTCTTAAGAATAATGATGAAAGTTCATTGGACATTTATGCTGGACTGGATAATACTCTAACTGGTAAGTTTAAAGTATAAAATAAAGTTTTAAGCCCATTTTATATTAATCTGTAAGGCACGAATGCAACTTCTTGCATATGTCTTGCGTTATGAATTGCTCCGAGGTAGTTTTTTTTAAAAAGTGACAAATTATAATTATTGTTGTTCTGGTTCTTCTCACTTTGCTTTGCATCTGTTCATCCTACCCAAGATTTTCTGAAATCATCTAGTCACTTAACCTCTTTAAACTTCAGTTTCCTTGTCTGGAAAATTAGGAAGTTGTAGTTCATGACTTTAAATTTTTTTTTTTGAGGCAGTTGGGGTTAAGTGACTTGCCTAGGGTCACACAGCTAGTAAATGTCAAGTGTCTGATCTGAGGTCGGATTTAAATTCAGGTCCTCCTGACATCAGGTCCTGTGCTCTATCCACTGCGCCACCTAGCTGCCCCAATCTAAATTTTTTTAAAATAAAATTTTATTTCATATTTTCAGTTGTCAGACTTTTTTTTCTTTTCTCCTCTTTTTCCTCCCCCCAAAAAAGAAAAAGAAAATTCTTATAACAAATAAGCATTAACAGGAAAAACAAATTTCCACATTAGTCATTTTTAGAATGTATGTCTCATTTTCCATATTAGTCCACATCTTTGTCAGGACAGGGGTAGTAGCATCCTTCATCATCATTCATTGTAATCATGGTTGATCTTTGTATTAATCAAAGTTCTTGAAGTATTTCAGAATTGTTCATTTTTAGGATGCTATATTATAAATTGTCTTCGTTGTTTGTACATCTCTGCATTATTTCGTAAAAGTCTTATCAGGTTTTCTCTGAAGTAATCTCCTTCATTATTTATAGAACAATAGTATTACATTACATTCATTTATTATACTTTATTCAGGGAGTTTTCAATTGATGGACACCCATTTAGTTTCCAGTTTTTGCTATAACAAGAGAGATAAATAATTTTGTACATATAGGACCTTTTCTTCTTTCTTTTGAACTTTTTGGGATATTGGCCTATTATGATTATGATTTAAGTTCTCTTCTAACTTAATTGTTTGTTCCTGTGGTTAGCCTGCAAAAACTTCTGTTTACAGGAACACTCCACTTAACTGGCAATACCAACTATATACAAAGGTTTAGAAGTAAAAATAAGCAAAGAAGAGCCTCCAAGTAGCCAGAATTTGTGTCCCAGAATACATGCACTGAAACTCATACTTTCTCTCAAGACCCTTACTTAGGGCCAATTTATTTTTAATTTATACGTCATTTTCACAAACTCGGTTATCTGGTGTCCCACATTATAGCACTAATTTAGTATGTTGGGACATAGGGTGGATCTGGCTAGATATAAGAAAACACACAGTTTTTTCTGTCACACAGAAGTGACAGTTAATAGTGAGAGAAGATACTGAAAAACTGTAAAAAGTAGACAAGAACTCAAAAAGCATGGGTAAGTTGAGGTTAGGTATAGGGATAATCTCTAACTTTTGAAGATATCATTGTATTATAAATAATATAAGTGAAAATCATTTAAATTGTATTGGTAGTCATAATTACTATTATATCAGTACCCTGTCTCCTCCTTTCTTGAATCTCTGTCCTGTTTTACCATCCCTCTATGCCATTTTTGCTGGTGGAACTCCCTTGCTTTGTAGTTGTTAATTTATTTCCAAGTACTGCTGGAGCAAATCACGCAGCTTGGGTCCACTACAAATTTATATTTTTGAACAACTTTATCTTTATTAATTAATCTCTTATCAGATATCACAATTTCTACTACAGCTGTTCCAAATCTTGTATTTTCTCTCAAGCTCCTAATTCTTTTTATTCATCAGTCTAAGAATATAGCCTTACCTTTTTCTTTGTGAAGATAGAGGCCATCTAACCTTAACTCCCTCAGCTTACCTTATCTAATCTTTAAAATTGCTATATACATATATATATGTAATTTTTTTTACTCATTCTCTCTTATCAGAGAAAGAGATGATCCTTCACCTTCTGTCCCATCCCTTGTCTTTTTTTTAATCTTGCTTCATCAGTAATTCCCTTATGCATCTTCCCTCTCTTTCTTCTCAACTTAGAGACTGCTCAGCTTTCCTCTCTTTTCAATTTTTGCTTCTGCACAAATGGTTTCCACTTTTGTAACTCTTTTTTTTGTTTTTAAATTTACTTATTTTTATTTTTCAACATTGACTTCCACAATATTTTGAGTTCCATATTTTCTCCCCATCTCATCCTTCCCTCCACTGCTAAATGGCATGCATTCTGAATACTCCTTCCTCTAATTTGCCGTCCATTCTGTCTCTGCCCCCCCCTTCTCTTATCCCCTTCCGCTTCAGTTTTCCTGTAGGGCAGGATACCCCATTGTCTGTATATCTTATTTCCCAGTTGCGTGTGAAAACAATTTTTTTTTAACATTTGCTTTTAAAACTTTGGGTTCCAAATTTTCTCCGTTTCTCCCTCCCCACTTATCCTCATTGAGAAGGCAAGCAATTCGATACAGGTTATGCGTGTTTAGTCATACAAAATACTTCCACAGTAGTCATGCTGTGGAAAACTAAGTTATTTCCCTTATCCTATCCCACCCCCATTTATTCTATTCTCTCTTTTGACCCTGTCCCTCCTTAGAAGTTTTGCTTCTGATTACCCCTCCTCCCAATTGCCCCCCTCTTTATCCCCTGCTCTCTTGTCCCCTTCCCCCCATTTTCCTGTAGGGTAAGATAGATTTCCATACCCAATTGAGTGTGTATGTTATTCCCTCCTTAAGCCAAATCCAATGAGAATAAGATTCACTCATTCCCTCTCACCTTCCCCCTTCCCCTCCACTGTAAAAGCCTTTTCTTGTCTGTTTTATGTGAGATAATTTATTCCATTCTACCTCTCCCTTTCTCCTTCTCCCAGTATAATCCTCTCTCACCCCTTAATTTTATTCTCCAGATATCACCCTTCATCTTCAACTCACCCTGTGCCCTCTATCTATCTATCTACATACATATATAATTTTTTCCCTCCAACTACCCTAATACTGACAAAGGTCTCATGAGTTACAAATATCATCTTTCCATGCAGGAATGTAAACAGTTCAACCTTAATAAGTCCTTATGATTTCTCTTTCCTGTTTACCTCTTCATGTTCTCTTGAGTCTTGTATTTGAAAGTCAAATTTTCCATTCAGCTCTGGTCTTTTCATCAAGAATGCTTGAAAGTCCTCTATTTCACTGAATGTCCATTTTTTCCCCTGAAGGATTATACTCAGTTTTGCTGGGTAGGTGATTCTTGGCTGTAATCCTATCTCCTTTGCCCTCCAGAATATATATTCCAAGCCCTGCAGTCCTTAATGTAGAAGCTGCTAAATCTTGTGTTATCCTGATTGTGTTTCCACAATACTTGAATTGTTTCTTTCTGGCTGCTTGCAATATTTTCTCCTTGACCTGGGAACTCTGGAATTTGGCTACAATATTCCTAGGAGTTTTCCTTTGGGGATCTCTTTCAGGAGGTGATTGGTGGATTCTTTCCATTTCTATTTTACCTCTGGTTCTAGAATATCAGGGCAGTTTTCCTTGATAATTTCTTGAAAGATGATGTCTAGGCTCTTTTTTTGATCATGGCTTTCAGATAGTCCAATAATTTTTAAATTCTCTCTCCTGGATCTATTTTCCAGGTCAGTTGTTTTTCCAATGAGATATTTCACATTGTCTTCTATTTTTTCATTCTTTTGGTTTTGTTTTACAATGTCTTGATTTCTCATAAAGTCACTAGCTTCCAATTGCTCCATTCTAATTTTTAAGGAAGTATTTTCTTCAGTGAGCTTTTGGACTTCCTTTTCCATTTGGCCAATTCTGCTTTTAAGGCATTCTTCCTCATTGGCTTTTTGGACCTCTTTTGCCATTTGGGTTAGGCTTTTTTAAGGTGTTTTTTCTTCAGTATTTTTTGGGTCTCCTTTAGCAAGCTGTTGACTTGTTTTTCATGATTTTCTTGCATCACTCTCATTTCTCTTCCCAGTTTTCCCTCTACTTCTCTTACTTCTCAAAATCCTTTTTAAGCTCTTCCTTAGCCTGGGACTGATTCATATTCTTCTTGGAGGCTTTGGATGTAGGAGCTTTGACTTTGTTGTCTTCTTCTGGTTGTATGTTTTGATCTTCTTTGTTACCAAAGAAAGATTCTATGGTCTGACTTTTTTGTGCCTGTTTGCTCATGATCCCAGCCAATTACTTGAGTTTTAAACTCTTGTTAAGGTGGGGGTCTGCTTCCAATGTGGAGAATGTACTGTCCCAAGCTTTGGGGTATATGTGCAGCTGTTTTCAGAGATACTTCTAGGGACCTGTAAGTTTTCAGTTCTCTCAAGGTGGTATGATCAAGGGAGAGGTGTTTACTCTCTTCCTGGCCTGTGCTCTGGTCTGTGAGTGACCACAAGTACTCTTTTCTGTGTTGGAACTCTGAGGAAGATTCTTTCTCCACAGCCACCACAAGCTCCACCATGCCAGCACTCCTCCTCGCGCCAGGATTGCCATGTAGAACTGTGACCTAGATCCAAGCACAGGCAAAGCAAGAGAATCCTGTGTCAGCACCAGCAAAAGATCCCTGCAAACCTCTGATTAGCCAGTTGATTCCCCCTGTCTGTGACCTGAAGTTCTGGATGCAGCTGCCACCCTGGGGCTGCACCAGGGGCTGTGGCTGGGACTGAGCTTCTCTGTCACTGCAGTCACAGACTTTTTTCCTAACTATTAATAGGCAGTGCACCAGTCGAATATTTTCTGTTGCTTGATAAAGTATCTCCTCTGGATGTCCTGTTTGACCTTGAAACTGAACTTTTAATCTTTTCCCTTAAACGTGTTTCTTCTTGTTGATGGCACTACACGTCTGTTAGTTACCTCCAAGCTTATTACTTCAGTATTATCTTTGACTCTTCCCCTTTCCTCATTCAAGACGTCCGATCAGGTAACAACTCCTGTTGGATCTACCTCTGCAGTAACTCATATCTTCCCCTACAAGTTATTTTGTTTTAAATTTAGATACCATCAGCAACAACAACAAAATTCTCATAAACAAGCAAGATAAAAAGTGATTGTACATAAATTAAAAATTACTTGACTTTCTTCTTTTCTATTTTGTTAAAATTATAGAAGTTACATCCTTCCTGTAGTGTCTTTTTCTCCAGTCAGTGCTTTGTAAATCATCCTTCATATTGCTGCTTAAATAATCTTCCCCAGTGCTCTGATCTGCTTGTAGAACTAGTCTACTTAAAAAGCGTCACTGATTTCTTTACCTACCAAATAAAGCATGCACTTTTTTATCCTGTGCATCCAAGACCTTTACACAATTGTTCTCTGTCTTAGTTTTCCATTCTTATCTCATATTACTTCATATTCCAGCCAGGTTATATCAATTTCTGTCCAAAATTTTTGTGCTTCCCTCTTTCCATATGTACTTCATGCTTATGCTGTCTCACATGCCTCTGATGGACTTCGTCTTTTTCTAAGTTCAAGATTTAATTTAGGTACTACTTCTTCCAGGAAACCTTCCCTGATTATTTAGCTGAACATGATTATTCCTTTAAATTTTTTTTTTATAGCACATAACATAGACCATGGCCCATTGACATAGAGATGTGTGTGTGTGTGTGTGTATGTGTGTGTGTGTGTATGTGTATTATATACATGCCTACATATGTTGTTGTTCATTTGTTTCAGTCATATCCTATTCTTTGTGATCCCATTTGGGATTTTTTTGGCAATGATACTGGAGTGGTTTGCCATTTCTTCCTTCAGCTCATTTTACAGATGAGGAAACTGAGGCAAACAGGGTTAAATGTCACAGAGCTAGTGTGTCCAGATTTTAATTTATGAAGATCAGTCTCCCTGACTTGAGGCCCAGTACTCTGCCACTGTGCCACGTAGCTGAGTATATGTGTGTATGTGGATATACACATACATATGTATACACACTCATACACCTACACCTATTTAAGGTTCACAGGCCCCTAGTTAAGAACCCCTGGCCTCAACTTTTCCTTTGGGACATATCACACTTTCCCTTGTATAATGGATATTTGTGTGTTCCTTCCTGCTCCCCACCTCATTTGATTGCTCTTTTGTTGCCAATATTTATGACTATAAATATATTTTCCCCTGTTTTGCAGACTTGACAAACTCATTTTATTGTTCTGGAGGTTGGACTGAATAACCTTCTAAGTTTCCTTCCCTCTCCTAAAATTCTGTGATTCTACAGTATTTGTTTCTAAGCACAATCAAATAGGTTAGTCAAACATTATTAATTTTTGTTTCAGATAATTCTTCCAAACTCTGCCCACCATCGAGGAATTGCTTAGATTTGTATGAGGAGATTTTGACTGAAGAAGGAACTGCAAAGGAAGCAACCTATAATGACGTATGCACTGTTAGGAAGAGATAAAGCTATGACTTTTGTAACCCCTGAAATATAGGATTATAATATTTTAAACTGAACAGATATATGTGACTGCATATTGTTTCAGATTGGATGTAATACAGATGAATTGATGCCTGATTTTCCATTCTTTCTAAGAAAGAATGTTGATGTTATGTATTTTTTTTTGGTCTAAACTTGTAATATCAATCCATGGATTTTCCTGGTGAGGAAACTCCCTCTCCCAGTGCAGATCAACCACTGTTCTGTAACTTAGAGTCTTATAATTACCTGGGGTGCTGAGAGGTTAAGTAACTTGCCCAGGTTCATACAGTCAGAATGTTCAAAGGTAGAAATTGAATCCAGCTTGTTCTAATTCCAAAGCTGGCCTCCTATTTACTCTAGCACAATATCTCTCTGTGATGATGCTTCGGTTTTTTTACAAGCTAAATTTAAACAGTTTTAACTTGTTTGTCCTTAATAGAATAGACTAACTGCAAGTAATCCAGAGTACAACCACTGATAGTTTTACATTTTTTTTCCATGATTTGTCAAGTGAGTTAATAAACATACTGAAATGTGTATTATACTCTGGGAAATGATTGCTAGAGGCTAAATTGACAGTTTCTATGCCTTGAATTTAGGTATGTAGGATAAGCATGATGTAGTAAACAAGAAACTATATGTTCTGGGCCTTCTAATTCTAAATTAATGACCTTTTTAAATGTTTCTTAATAAAAGTATCCTTCATTATGCCATTCTTCCTTCCTATGTATTAATTTGTAAGAACACTTTAAAAAAAGTGTTTTAAGGTAGGCATAGTTTGAATTATTTTGTGTTTTACAGTTGCAGCTTGAGTTTGGAAAATGTCAGAGGCAAATTAAAGAGCTACTGAAGAAGTATAAAGAAATACAGACACAGGTGCGCTATATTTAACATGTTTATGATTTTTATTTTTCTGTATTTTATAAAAAATTAAGTGCTAGATTTGTCTTCAAAAATAATTTAAACTGATATTTTTGGTAGTTTTCAAAGGAGTTGTAAAAAACATTTATCTGACCATATCACTCACTTGCTGAAGAAGTTTTTCAGTACTTTCCTCTTGCCTCTAGGATAAAATACAAACCTCTCTGTTTGATTTTTAAAGCTCTTTACATTCTGGCTCCAGCCTCCATTTCCAGACTTAATGTATGTTACTCCTTTTCATGCATCATATCTCAGCCTCCTTGGTCTATCATACGTGAATTTCCATCATCTCTCTCTTTACCATGCCTGGAATCCACCCCTCCTCACAACTTCCTAGGATCTTCAGCTTCCTTCAAAACTTAGCTCAAGTGAGGCCTAAAGGAAAGCTGTTGAATCTTCTCCCACCTTCCAGTTTCCAGAGTTTTCTTCCCAGAATTTCTTTATATATGTTTTGTATTAATTGTAATTTATTTATTATAACATATTTCATAATATATATTGTATATTTTATGTTTCCTCCTCGAATATATCTCCTCTCTCAATATAATTTGAGCTTCCTGAAAGCACAAACTGTAAAATAGTCTTTTTGTCTTTGTATCTTCAATGCTTGGTGCACAGGTAGGCATGTAAAAAATAGTGTTGAATAAGTAATGTTTTATGCTATTCAGTTTGATTTCTTTGTTTGATACAATTTTTAGCAGGTGTACTGAAACTTTACTTTGCTTAAATTCCCTACCAAGTGACACTTAAGGATGTAAAACTAATTATCTTTATGACACTGTCCAATTCTAATGCTATTCATTCTTAACTAAAGTTGCCTTTTAAAATTATTTAAATTGTTAAGTATTTTGCCTGTCGTTGGCTTCTGATGATTGGAAGATGATATTGAATATAAGCATCGTATTTTCCTTTCTAGAAGTTAACATTTCCCTCAGTGTTGAAATATGAAAATTTAAATATAGAATGAAATATTCGATATGAACTTTTATATTATTATCAAATTATATATCTATTACACGCCAGGCAATATGCTAGATGTTATGGAATATAAGAACAAAGAATAAAATGATCCCTACTCTAAATGATACCTTGCAATAATCTTAACTTATGTAATTATTTAAAATAATTTAAAAGGTCTTTTTTGACTTATGTAATATTTAACTCATTCTTCTAAAAATGACTTTTAATAAATGTTGCTTTGAAGTCTTCTACAAATGTTTTTACTACAAATGTTTTTATTAATATTTTATGTAGAATTTCAGCCTACAAAATGAGAACCAGTCTCTTAAGAAGAATATTTCAGCACTTATCAAAACTGCCAGGGTGGAAATAAATCGCAAGGATGAAGAAATTAATAGTCTCCACCAAAGGTAAAATTTAAATTAGGAGTTTAATTTTGCAGATTATTTAACTTTGGGTAGGTTACCTTTATCTGGTGAATGTATTATATGTTTAAGTGGAAATAAGTAAAATACATTAATTTTGTCATATATTCATATTTCAATTTTTTGTTTTTACTGTAATAACTTATTTGCTCATAGCAAGCTTTCCAGTATCCTCCTAATTACATATTTTTATACCAATGTAATTTGAGATTGATAAAATATCATTTGTTTTAATGTATGACATATTTCTGTCCTGGACTGTTTATAGTCCTATGGTATATATAATTGCATTGAGTAGCAAATTTGTGTGGCATTATGTATTGAATTTCCATTCTACAGCCTTTTATATTAAAGATTTAAGAATGATTTGTAGTCTTAAGTGCTTTTGTTACGTTGACATTTATAGAATTTTGGATCTTGGATTTGGAGCTTTACCATCATAAGCTGATTTCCCCCCGCCAGTTGGTTCAAACGAAAGAAACTGGCTGTGCTAGTTATGGGAGATTTGTGCCTTTTAAAAATCATGTTTTAGATGATGTTTGATGTAAAACATTATATTCATCAATGGAAGAAATAATATACTAGTAATTTAAATGTTTAGAGTTTGAAGTCATGGTATTATTTGACTTAATTAAAGTTAAACTTCGTTTTCGTAAGAAAAGCATGTTGTTAATGATGCTTTATCCTATAACCCATTTAGGCAGTATGTAGGACATTCATGACCTCATTTCTCCCCTTTTTTAGCTTATGTTTTTAATGAAGTGCCATAACTTATATCACATTACTGCAAAACTTACTCTTAGTTCTTCAATTAGGGTTTTTTGTAAAATTGGAAAATTTTAATTTAAGGTTTGAGACACGAGTCAGATACCACAGGGTTTTGCAGTTGTTAGACTTGAGAAGAGATTGTTCTGCTATAACCTTTCTGGATTTGACTTATATGAAATATCATTTGAGTTAAGGACAGAGCTTGGCAAATAAGCAGCCCCAGGCATATAAAAAACTTTAGGCTAATGATAAAGATGGTAGCTGAAACTTCTCTCTACTATAAAACTATTGTTTAGAAAACAATTTTAATCCATTCTTGTTTGATTTTTCATAACCTTGATGAAGTAAGTGGTACATGTTTTTATAATCTCCATTTTACATATTAGAAAACTGAAGCACAAAGAAGTAAATAATGACATGCCAGGGACAGAAAGCCAGTAAGTTATAGAATTAAAATTTGAACCCGAGTTTTTTCAACCCAAATCCAGGACATTTCTGTTTTAGCTCAGTAGCCCCTCTGTAAAAGCAAGTACACTCGGGGCAGCTAGGTGGCACAGTGGATAGAGCACCGGCCCTGGATTCTGGAGGACCTGAGTTCAAATCTGGCCTCAGACACATAACACTTACTAGCTGTGTGACCCTGGGCAAGTCACTTAACCCCATTGCCTAGCCAAAAAAAAAAAAATTAAAAGCAAGTACACTCTATAGAGAAAGAATGTTTATTAAGATCAGTGCTTCCTAATCTTTGAGTATGAAGAGAAACTTGAAAAAAAAAATTTGATTCTGAGCTTAAAAATGGAAAAGGAGGATTTTCACACACAAGAGAACTCAAAAAAGAGAAATGTAAAAAACTATATAAACTGCATATAAAACTATAAGTCTTCATTTTGTAAAATTTGCTTTAAAAAGTATATAATAAATTCCACGTATTAGTTTAAAAACAATCCCATTTGTGCTTCCTTCTGAACTTCATTCTGTTCTCTTCTGTGCATTTAAAAAATGTTTCAGTGGCCCTCTTTTGGGGGTGGGGCATCACCATAGCTAACACTCTTTTCACCTCTAAAAAAATTACATATAACAAATAAGCATAGTCAGAATAAATCCATATGTCTTTCTGTGCCATAAATCATCATAAGTACTCTGGAGACACGGTTGGTCATCGCATTGATCAGAGTTCTTAAGTCTTTCAAAGTTTTTTTTCTTTACTTTGTTGCTGTTCTTGTATAATTGTTCTCCTGCTTCTGCCTACTTCTTTTGTATGAGTTCATACTACCTAGGATTCTCTGAAATCATCTTTGTTATAATTTCAAAAGGTGAAATATTTCATTGCATTCATATAATACAATTTGTTCAACTATTCCCTAATTGATACATACCTCCTTAGATTCTAGTTATTTGCTTTTCTTTCACTCTATTTTAATTCCTTCCCTCTCCCTTTTATCTTCTTCCTTTTCAGGACCAGGATATTTGTTTTGTTTGAGACAATTTTTTTCTGTGGTATTTTCCTCCCTCAGAACCCTGTTTCTCCCTCTCCCTGCTGGTTTCCATATTGAGTTCGAGGTATTTCTACACCAAACTCTGTGAGAGTGTGTTGATTCAACTTTCCTTTGTGTCAGATAAGAATGAGGTTCATCTGAAACCCACTTCTACCTCTTCTTCCATGTTAGTATACTCTTCTTATGGGCCTCAACGATTAGAAATAGAAAATTCTGTACCCTGCTTTTTTATACTAATATATCCTATTTATATTTCCTTTGCAAAACCTTCAGAATAAAATCAGTCCACTTCTAGGACCTCTGTTTTTCTTATTTAATTCATATAATACTCTTTGAAGATATTAAAGTTCTGAAGATATACCTGCCTCTTTTCCTCCATTATAGCGTTTACAGTATATCATCATAAAGCCCCTTTGGATTATTCAAATAAATATACCTTTCTAAGTTTCTCTGGACTTTTATGTTTGCAATTCAAATAAGAAATGGAGTAAATAGCTTCGGGGAAAAAAAAGGTATATCTTATAGTTAAGAAATGAAGTCCCCCCAAACTAGATTCCAGACCAAACAGAAATCAGTGATTTCATGAGACCAAGAAATACTAAAATAAAATCAAAAGATTGAAAAAATAAAAGAAAATGTAAAATATCTGATTGCAAAAACAAACTGGCTTTTTATCAGAAATGCTTAAAAGTCCTCTATTCCATTAAAGGCCTATTTCCCCCTATAGTATTATTTTCTGCTTTCCAGAGTAAGTTATTTTTGATGTTGTCTATCACTTTTGCCTTTTGTAATATTGTATTTAGGACTTCCACTTATTTATAGTAGAGGCTGTCAGTTCTTGTATGATCCTGACTGGTTCCTTGGTACTTGAACTATTTCTTTCTGAATACTTGCAGTACTTTTTGTTTGGTATGAAAGCCTTGGATTTTGGCTATTATATTCCTGAGACTTTTCTTTTTGGGGAAGGTCTGGGCTAGTTCTGCCTTCTTGGGTGATTAAGTATTGTGTTATTTCAGGACATTGGGGACAGCTCACACCGGATACCTGAAAGCTTTCAGTGCTCCTAAAGTCTTCTGGTCCAGGGCAGATTCTGATTGCTGCTTCCCTGGTGTGAGCTCTGCAAATAATTGACCTGGGTTTGGGTCTGTGCAAGATTAGATTGCTGCTGGACCCCGTCCCTTGATAGGCTGATGCCAGTTGGGAATATCTCTTGGTTCAAAGTTGCAGAATTGTAGGTTTTCCTTTAGACTGGGATTCTCTGCAGGCTGGGCTAGAGGCCCTTTTTAATCTTAGCTTTGTTGGTTTTGTTAGTGCAAAGCATATTTTCTATAATCAAAATTGTCCATTTTATGCTCTAATTTGTTTATTTTGTGACCTATTATGTCTAGGTCATATATTCGTATATGATGTGAAGTGTTGGTCTGAAATTGATTTCTACCAGACTTCTTTTCAGTTTTCCTAGAATTTTCATCAAATAGTATTTGCTCCAGAAGCTGGGGTCTTCAGGTTTATTGAAAATTAGGCAGTTATATTTATTTGCTTCTGTGTTCTGTGTAAAAATCGACTGGCTTTCCCATTTTTTAACCAGCGTTGTTTGGATGATTACTTTTTTTGTGGTGTAGTTTGAGATCTAGTACTTCTTGATCCATTTTTCATTATTTCCCTTAAGAGTCTTGACTTTTTATTTCTCAATGAATTTTATTTTTTTTTCTAGCTCCATGAAATTTGCTAGTTTGATTTTTGATCTTTGCTAGTTTGATTGGTATGGCACTAAATAAATTAATTTTGGTAGTATTGTTATTTTCATTATTTGCTTATAGTACTTCATATTCAGAAAGACTTAACTCCTCTTGCCTCCTGTTCCTATGGCATTTGCAGGTATTATAGGTATCATCCCTCCCCTAATGCCATTCAAACATAAATTCAGGTATGTCATCTTTGTTGTTTGCCTTATATAATAGCTTTGTACGTGCCCAGTACAAGATCCAGTGAGTAAATTCATTTCGTTGCTCTGGTACCAGTCTTAACTATACTTTGGTTATTTCCTAGTTACCTCAGCCTGTTCCCTGGATTCCCATGACCTACTAAGGGATGCCCCCCCCCCTTCTGTTGATATTAACACTTCAAGGGACTTTTTTGTCTTTAACTGTTTCTAAAATAAAATGCTTGTAACAAATGAGGATAGATATTCCTAAAGATATCACTGAAACTAGCAAATCATTTGTAAATACTGTGAAAGCCCATCCTTAGAAAAGACCGTGCTGCTGTCAAAAGCCCCATCATGTGTTTCATGGCTCTTTGCTCCTCTTATTACTTACTTTAATAGAAAGGCACAATGGCACAGATAGTCTAAAGCAGTGAATAACTTAGCTGTAATTTTTATTTGGTTTGGGAATCCTCCTCCCAGCACCATCACCTAGACAGCAATAGCACTTTCATGCCTAGACAGTAGTAGCAGTTTCCTTACTGGTCTGTGTCTCAGGTTTCTCTGCTCCCCCATTTAGTTTGTCTAATGCTGCCAGATTAACAGATTGAATTTCTTTTTTTTAAGTTTTATTTTAAACTTAACCATTAACTAAAATAAATAATTAAATGAGCTTCCAAAGTAAGGACTACAAAACCCACAACATATTATATCATAACATTTGAATGTAGTAGAATTGAGGTTTAAATGAATCCAAAAACTTGATGTTCTTTTGAGAACATCTCTATCACTTCTATCATCTTTCTCCAAGTCTGTCTTTGGCTTTCTTTTCTTTTTTGTTATAGGCATTATGTATACTGTAGTGGTTCTGTGTATTTCACTTTGTCACTTTATTTTCATCTGTATCTTTTTATGGTGAAATATTTCATTACATTAATATGTCATGGACATTTTCAGTTATTAGATTATTTCTAACTTTTTGCTACTACAAATGGAGTAGTTGTGGATGTTTGTATAGATAGTTCCTCTTTTTCCATTTCATGACACATTTAGGGTAAAGTTTGAACAATAGAATCTTTGGGTCCCTCCAGGGAACAACTTAATTCCTTCAAAAAAAGCACCGTTTTGTTGCTGGGTTGTTTTTTTTTTTTAAATCATGATCATTTCTGTAATTTTTACACTACCTTGAATTCAATCTTCCCTTACAACAAAGAAAAACAAGTGAAAACAAAATACCACTAAGGTGTCTGACAATGTGTCCAACATCCTGCCCTCATTGACCGCTGCCTTCCTACTAAGAAGAGGGAGGCATATTTCATTATCTGTTTTCCAAGACCATTATTAGTTTTTCATTTATTCAAGAGTTAGACTTTCTGATCATGATGAAAATATTTTCCACATCTAGAGCAAGAACTATGGAGTCTGAATGTAGATCGGAGCATATACTATTTTCTCTTTTTTTTGTTTTTGTTGTTTGTTTTTTCTTTCTCATGGTTTTTTCATTTTGTTCTGATTCTTTTTTCACAACATGACTAATGTGGAAATATGTTTAAGATGATTTTACATGTATAGCCTAGATCAGATTGCATGTTATCTTGGGGAGGGAGGGAGGGGGATAAATTTAGAACTCAAAATTTTATAAAAGTGAATGTTGAAAATGGAAAATAAATTAAAAGCAAAGTTTCAAGAGAAAAAAAAATTAAAGAAGAGGTAAGCTTTCTTTTAGTGATCTTTTTACCATTTATGATGTTGTGGTTGTGTGTACTCTCTTGTCATCAGTTCATCTAATTGAAATCTTCACATTTATCATTTATTACTATGACTTATATTCCATTGTACTCATTATGCCACAATTTATTTGATCATTCCCCGTTTGGCTCTTATCTTTTTTTTTCTTTTTAGATGGTACTGAAATTTTATTTTTAAGACCATGGTGTATTTTCTTGAGTATCTTTTGTTTCATTCCTGAGTTTGAGGTCTTTGTAGGTTGGGGTTTTAAATATAGAGTTAAAAGAAATGTATAAATATTGGTTTTTTTTAGGAAACATTTTAGCATTTATTTTCTTGTTTAAAAGTAAATATGAAAATTTATTGGTTGTTTTTTTTACAGAGAACTGGCAATTTTCTGAGACCTTAATATAATGTGTTTAGTGTTGAAGACTATAAATACAATACAACTCATTATAGTGTCCTGATTTTGTGTAATTGGCTTCATCTTTTTTTATCTGTTATCTTTGAGAAGATAGCCTTTGGATTAGTGTTTCCATTGGCCTTTTCTATTGCTCTTCAACATTTCTGAGGCTTATTACTCATTCCTTTCAGTTTCAGGATAATTGATGTTCTTTAAATTCTTTGCCTAGACCCTTGATCCTGTTCCCTCTTGCCTCCTCTAAAATATTGGTTTAGCAGTCTTCCCCTCTATATCCAGAATTTTCAGTCTTTCTATCACCTCTCTTCTACCTACAATATCCCTAATGCTAAGAAAGCATCCTTTGACCTTTCTAATCTGCAGCATGTCTAAAATCCTAGAAAAGTTATGTACACCAAGTTTAGCTTTCTCAGCTCTTTTCTTAGCTTCTTGTAATCTAAATTCCATTGATACTTTTCTCTCTAAATTGCTTTTTCTTCAAGGATTACCATTAACTTCCTAATTTGCAGACCCATTTATTGGCCTTTTTCAGTATTTATCTCGATCTCTCTGCAGCCCTCAATAATCTTTATTCCCACCTGTTTAATTTTCTTTCTTTGTTTTCCATTCTAACTTATTCTCTTAGTTGCTTTATCTCTCTAGTCTAGTCTTTCTCTATGTCACTCATTTCTCTTCTAAACTTTTTCTCTTTGCAGTTCTACTCTGAATTTTCAGACTTGCAATTCTGAATGTCTACTGGAAATCTCTTATCTTCTGGCAGCAACTCACACTCAACATGTTCAAAAATTCTTTCAGTGGTATTTATTTCTGCTTAGGATCATAGGATCACAGGATCATAGTTTTATAGCTCGAAGGGACTTCAGTGGTTATCTAGTCTAAGCCCCTTATTTTACATCTGAGTGAACTGAGGCTCATGGAGGTTGTGACTTGCCAAAGGTCCCTTAGGTAGCAGTCTTCTGAAGTGAGATTTTGCTCTCAGGTCCTCTGATTCCAGAGTCAGTGTCCTTTCCATTGTACCATTCTGCCTCCTTACCTCCTTGAAACTCTCCACTCAGTCATCCATAATGTATATCTTGATATTTATTGTGCTGCCATATGACTGCCTCAAGATGAGTTCTCCATTGCCAGAGGTCATCAGACCTAGGATGTCTAGGATGTTATAGATGGGATTTATGATGTTGGTGGGAATTGGACTAGATGTCCCTTCACGTTTTTTAAACCTATGGTCATTGAATCCTCTCTCACTTCTCATGTCTAGTCATTTGCAAAGTCATATTGATTCCACCTCCCCAATACTTCTCATAACCAATCCTTTTCTTTCCACTGCTATCATCCTATTATGGATCCTCACTATTACAGTAGCCTTCTATCAGGTCTGCTTCCTTGTAGTCTCTTCTCTCTTTGGTTCATCTTTCATATTATAGCCAGATTTATTTTCAGCTTTATTTAAATTCAGCAAGTATTTATTAAATGCCTAGTATAAGCAGAGCATTGTGTTAGGTGTTGACAGAGGTAGAAATTTCAGATCCTTGTTTGCATGTTTACAGTCTTCTAAGAAAATTACCTACATACAAATAACTACAATACATACATGCTTTAGAGTGGTATAATTGAAAGTACATTGTGAAATCTTGTGAGAAAATTCTTTTTGACAAGGAGAATCAAGGAAAGCTTTATGAAGGGGTGGGATTTGAGTTGAGGATGGGTAAAAATTCAGGCAAAAAAGAAGATCTGATGACTTTGATCCCACTCAAAATACTTATTGCCATTTGAATAAACTCTATATTAAACTGTCTTTCAAGGCTGTCAGCTGTCTGGTACCTTCTTACTTTACTGTACTTTGGTTATGCTATCATCCATAAATGTTGAGTTCGAGCTAAATTGAAATAATCACCATTCCTCCTACATATCCAGTGTTTTTCTGCCTTAGATTATAACTTTCCATATGTAGTTCCCTACTTTTGGAAACCTCTTATAATACTACTTATATTGCCACTTTTGGCTCAGATTTTACCTTTTCGAGGAACCTTTCTCTGGTTTTCCCCCAATCAGTAATGATATTTTGGGTTTTTTTCCCTTATTTTCACCCCTTTTTAAATGTTTTAAGAGGCAGTGTCACATAATGAATCCTGGCCTCAGATCCAGGAAGGCTGAGGCTGAAGTCCCTCCTCTGATATATACTGGCTGTATGAGGTTAGTCAAGTTGCTTAACTTGTTACTGCTCTGAGCAAATTGCAGAGGTGTGATAAGCTTCATTGATAGAGAGTTTCTTCATCTCAGTTTTCCATATCAATGAAACCACAGTTTCAGCCCCCAGTTTAAATGTCCTGTTGATACTTTTTTTCTATTATTATTTCCCAATAATCTACTTCCTACTTCCCACCCACCCCCAAACCTTCACCCCTAACTCCAATAGAATTTCCTCTTGTAACAAATGACACATCGGCCATGTATGAAAATATATGCTTTCCTCTTTACCTCTCTCCAGACAGCTGGAAGATGTATTTCATTGTCGGGTCCTCTGTAGTTAACTCTGTGGTAGTCAGAGTTCTGAAGTCTTTCAGTGTTCTTTTCATTTACATTATTGTGATTGTCTCATAACTAGCTCCTTTGGGGTACTTAGCTCTATATCTGTTATTACAGTGTAATGATCTTTTTCTGACCTCACATAGCACTCATACTATTTTTGTATTCTGTTTGGTTGTATAATTTTTATTTACTGCATGTATTTATATGTGTGATATTCACCTTGCTGCATTATGAGCTCCCTCAGGGTAGGCACTGTATCTTAATTATATCTCAGTTCCTAGTATTGTTTTTAAACATAGTAGGTACTTTTACTGCATGGTTTTTGAATGAATGTCACTAATGACCATCAGAGTTCCAGTAAATCTGTTCCTTTACTTGGAGGTGGGAGTTGGGGTGCATAGGTGCAAGAAAAGCACATAATTCATGCTACAGAAGAAGTAAAACTAAGGTTTTTGTGTGCAAGATAGGAGGGTAGAAGAGTTTATAAACATAGTATATCTGGAGAGGAGGAGGAGGAGAACTTATATGGTGGCTGTTGGGGAAAGATTGAGACTAAGAATCTTTGCAGAAGTTGGAAGGAAGGAAAATTAAGGGGACAGACAGAGCTGCATGATTTGAAAACTGATACATACAGTTAAATATTGTAATTTATTGTTCTCTTAACCAAAGAAAAATAGACTTTGCCAATTCAGATTTGTGTGAAATATAATGTTGCTGTATATACAAGTAATTTTTCTCTTCTAATCATCTCTATTTTCTAAACAGACTTTCAGAATTTCCACATTTTCGAAATAATCACTCGAGAGTCAGCCCTCCAGGATCAGCAAATTCAAGATCCTCAGATACAGCTAAAACAAAAGACCTCAAGTTCAGATCTCCACGGTTAGATGATAGTCCCAAGGCTGATCATCGAGTGAAAAATGACTCTTCCAAAGATGTACATCATAGCACTTTATCACCAAACCAGGAAAAAGAAGTTAAACCACAGTGTGAAAAAAGAAGCACTTCACATTTACCTACATCTGCTGAAAAACGTTACAATGGTGGCATTTGGTCAAATCAGCATAATCAGGTCCTGGAAGATAGTTCAGATGATGATGGTAGAAGAGGAAGAAAAGAAGTAAAAAATTGTGAACAATATAACAGGGGAGCTGATAGAATAAGAAAAGGCTTATTTCACAATAGCAATGGAAATGGAGAAAAGAGAAACATAGATGTTGATCGAAGGCCACAAGGTCCTCGTGATAAATGTAGCAAAATTGAGTCAAAGCCAGAAAATAAGAATTCAAAGTTGAAAAGCAGCCCAGATTCAGATTATAGAAGTGACTGGATTAACTCTTCCTGGGAAAAAGAGGCACCTAAAGGAAGGTCACATACTCGATTAGATTCTCAGAGTGATGAAAGACTAGAAAGGCTAAGTGAAAGGTCACAGAACTCAAATAGAAAAGAACCTAGGTCATATGACAAAGATGATAGAAAAGTTGATCCAAAATCCAAATTGATGGTAAAGGATCATGAACAGTGGAGAAGATTTGAAAGAGTACCCCCTCCCCATTCATGGAATGAAACAGGAAGAAGTTTTCATAAATCATTTAAACCCCATATAGAAGATAGAAGAGGAAGGGAAACAGAATTTAAAAGAGATAGAAATATAAATGATTATGGATTTCAAGACAAAAGGTCTCCACCTTCTGTTTCAAGCAGTAGGACACACAAATACTTTGACTCCAAGGAAGATGATACTAAATACCATACATATTCAAAAACAGAAAGGCATAGAACTGAAGATAAAAGGAAAAGAGAGAAAGAAAGCCATGAATACAGACATACCCGATGTGAAAGAAAAATGCCTGTGGAACATTTACAAAAGACTGAAAAAGAAATTAAGAAAATTATTATTGATTCAAAGAGAAGGAATGAACAAAATGACAAAAATGAAGTTTCAAAGGTTGAAGAAATGTCTGAAGGAAGAGATAGGAAAGAACTGAAGAAAGTTGAAAATGGCCAGAATGAAACAAAAAGTAACCTAAAGTTAAGTTTTATGGAAAAATTAAATTTAACTCTTTCTCCTGCTAAAAAGCAATTTCTGGGCGAGGAAGATAAGATTAAAATAAACAATACCCTTAAATCCAGTGACAGACATGCTTCTGATACTTCATTGCAGGCAAAACCAGTAAAAGTACCAGTGTCTATGAATTCTGATTGTAAAGAAGAAACCAAGTCATGGTTACTAGAACAAAATGATGTTATACTGGCAGGCTCCAAATCCAAATTCGACATTTCTGAAAACAAAATAAAGAATGCAAATGATTCTTTAGTAAAATCTTGTGACTTGCCTGTTTCTAGTAAAGAATCACTACTTCAGCCACAAATGGAAGTGCTAGAAACAATGAATGATAATGCAGCTCCTGTTTTAATGGATGTACTACATGTAACTGTTCCCTGCAGTGTTGGCTTGGAATTGGAGAATGTAAGCAATGATGAATTAGACCCCTCTGTTGTTCCTGAAAATAATAGTATTAAGTCAAACCCTTCAGTGGAGGTGACTGATACTGGTGAGAACAGTCTAAAGCTTCCAACTGGAAAACATCCCATTATTTCAACAGTCTCATCAAAGATCCATGATGACTCTAAGTCTAAGCCATCCATTGAAGCTATACCTGTTGTTGAGAATAATGCTTGTAATGTGGAACTGTGTTTACCCAAGCAAAACTTAGAACGTTATCTTCAAATGAATATGGACAATAGAATAGAAGTTGGAGAAACAAACTCAGAGTACCATGATGATGAAAATTCTGTTATGAGCATTGATCTAAATCATATGAGACCTATTCCAAACGTCATCAGTCCACTGAATAGCCCAGTTCGTCCTGCAGCTAAAATTCTAAGGATGGAAAGCCCAGGCAGAGTTCCAGTGTTAAAAAACAACCATAAGGGTAATTGCTTATTTTGTTTTACTCTATTTTAAAACTATAAACTGTATAAACATATTTATTGGATTGGTACTTTACGGCGTGGCCTAGTAGCATGAGAGCAAATCTCAAAGTCACGAAGACTTGAGTTAAAGTGCTGCCTCTGAAACATACTGGCTCTGTGACTCTGGGCAAGTCACTTGACCCCTCTGGTCCTTAGTTTCCTCAGCCATAAAATGAAGGAATTGGATTAGAAAGCTTCTAAGGTCTCTTCCTGCTCTAAATCTATAATCCTTTTATCCAAGTTATATGTTCCTAGTCACATAGCTTGTGTGAAAGATGATAGGATTTGAATTAATTTCTTCCTGTTACCGGTACTGCCCTATTTACTTCATACCTGCCCTCATCACCCTTTCTTGCACTGTTTTGCTATTTGTGTGATACTTAAGTATGTTAATTTACAAAGTTTTTCTTGGTACCATAACTAGGAGTGGGAACTTCTTATCTCTTTTTCTTTAAGGTGCTGTTTAGGAAAAACAGGCAACACATAAAATAAGAGCACACTATAACAAGGATGAGGCACCAGTGGAGTTAAGTAGGTATAGAGTATAAGTGGAAGTGTCATCAAGAGATTATAGGCAAAATATGCCAGAGATAAATCAAGTTGTGGATGATGGGCCTACAAATAATAAAGAGTAACTACATACTTAAACTATAGAATCGCTTAATTAAATATTTGGTTTTTTCTAAAATAATCATTTTATTAATCATGCTGGCATGTAATTATTAAAAGGGGTAAGTAATTCTAGAATGCCAAAGAGCATGGAACCCACTCACCAGTTATGTGTCCTGGGAAGAGTTGGTGTTCCTGGGGGTAGCAATCAACTCTGATTAGTTAATAATTTTTAAAAATAAACGCATAATTAATTTGTTTATTTTTAGTTTTCAACATTCACTTCCATAAGATTTTGAGTTTTAAATTTTATCCCCCTCTCTCCTCCCCCCTCCCTAAGATGGTATGCAATTTGATATAGGTTCTACTTAGACATTCTAGATATTTGTTAATGCATTTATATACAAAGCAATTTCTACTAGCACCTGTACCTAGTGAATAGCATATTTTTATGCTCCTAAAGACCAATGATATGTACTAAATAGGCAGATCCTGATTTTAAAAAATATTGGGAAATGACTAAATATTTAAAAATTTTTTTAAAACTACATTTAGGTTACTGATATTAAACTGTTTCTTAAACTTTTCTTTTTATAGATTTGGTTCCAGCAAACATTGTTAGCTCTCCCTCTAAGAATTTATCAAATGAACTCAACAAAGAAAATCAAAAGCCAGTTTGCAAACCTGATAAATGTTCAGAAATAAACCCTGACACAGATTTGTCTTCAGATGAACTTGAAGAAGGAGAAATTGTAAGTGATAGTGAAAGATCTAAACCACAAAGAAATTTTGAAAATAATAAAAATGCCAAACCAAGAACTTCTGCTGAAGCACAGAGCACAAATAATAGTCCCCAAATCAGAAAAAGTAGCACTACACATTTGGATGAAGGCACTGGAAATAAAGTTTCTGTCAAAGTCCATCAAATCAAGAACAAGAAGGATAAACTATCAAATGATTCTACTAAGTTTTCAAAGACAGAAAATAAAGGAAAAACAGTGAGTACTTCTTGCCTGGAAAAGATAGTTCAGATTATTGTTGAGCCCTCTTCTGTTCAAGAGGTTATGCAAATGCTAAAAGTTATAAGAAAACATGTTAGGAAAAATTATATGAAGTTTAAGATAAAATTTTCACTACAACAATTTCAACGGATTATTGAATCTGCAATTTTGAATTTTACATCACTGATCAAATACTTGAATATGTCTAAGATATCTAAGTCAGTGGATACTTTGCAACAAAGTCTCTGTGATGTTATAGAATCTAAACTTAGGCAGGTTAAAAAGAATGGCATAGTCAATCGTTTATTTGAACAGCAGTTGCCAGATATGAAAAAGAAGTTGTGGAAGTTTGTAGAAGAGCAGCTGGATTATTTGTTTTCGAAACTGAAGAAGATTTTGATAAAATTCTGTGATTCCATAAGTTTGGGAAGTGACAGTGATGAAGGCAAACTTGACGTGGCAAATAAAGATAAATCAAAATACTCAATTAGTCAGAGAGAGAATGTGAATCATTCTAATAAAGGATCTTTGAAAGTCAAATCCCAACAGACAGAGCAATCAGTTGACTACAGATCAACACTGGGACATCAGAAACCTGAAAAAACACATTACCAAGATCAAAAAATCCCCAGACCCAATGCAGTGAAACAGAGTACTGAAAAATGTTTAAATACCTCTATAGACAATACAAAGGACTCTTTATCCAAAGTGTCATCTTTAGAACAAAATGAATTTCAGAGTACTCTGATTTCCACAAAAACTACTGAAAACACAATAGAAAGTGCAGAGACAGCCAAAAACTTGAATAAGAAAGTAGAACATAGTTTTGAAATTCTTACAGAGCAACAGGCATCTAGTCTGACTTTTAATTTAGTGAGTGATGCCCAGATGGGTGAAATATTTAAAAGTTTGTTGCAAGGTTCTGATCTTTTGGATCAGAGTGTTAACTGTATTGAAAAGTGTCAATGGGAATTGAAGACACCAGAAAAACATCCTTTAGGGAGTCAGAAGAGTGAGCTTATCCCAGGTTGTCATATAGAAGAAGTTTCAGGAGTGTCTTCTCCAAGTCTTAAAACAATTGTTGATCTTAATTGGTCTTCCTCATCATTTGAAAAGACTCCATCTCTTTCATCCAGACTTCAGTTGCCAGTTCATCCTGATGTACTAGATGAAAGTTGTATGTTTGAGGTTTCTACTTGTGTAGCTTTGAGTAAAGAGAATGCATGTAATTCAGAAAAGAGTAAGTCCTGCATTTCTTCAATTCTTCTTGAAGATTTAGCAGTCTCTCTAACAGTACCATCACCTCTGAAGTCAGATGGTCATCTTAGTTTTCTAAAGCCTGAAACTTCATCAAGTTCAACTCCTGAAGAAGTTATTAGTGCCCATTTTAGTGAAGATGCACTACTTGAAGAAGAAGATGCCACTGAACAAGATATTCATTTAGCCTTGGAGTCTGATAATTCAAGCAGTAGATCAAGCTGTTCATCATCATGGACAAGCAGGCCTGTTGCTCCTGGCTTTCAGTATCATCCTAACTTACCAATGCAAGCTGTCATAATGGAGAAATCCAACGATCATTTCATTGTTAAAATTCGGCATGCAGTACCACCTTCCACGTCAGGTCTTGACCAAAATAAAACAAGTGAACAGTCTGCAATATCTTTACATGAAGTGGAGAAGGAAACCAATGGAACTGCAGAAAAAAGTATCTCTTGTCAGAACTCTACAATTCAGTCTGTGGAAGAATCAGAAAATTCTAAGAGAAATGTAAATACTGATAATTTGGGTAGTGACAATCAGAGTTCTATTATACAAACACAAGTTCCTGATATATATGAGTTATTTAAAGACCCATCAGATAAAGCAGATCACAAAAGTGAAATTGTAGGTGAATGTTTTGAATTGAATCAAATGTGGGAACCAAAGGTTCCCGAAAGCATCAAAGAGTTGCCTACAATTGTGGAAGTTCCACAGCACGTAGAGTGTAGTGTTGAGAGCTCATATGTAGACTTAACAAAGCCTTCTTCCGTTGAGATTGAAAATCTAGGGAAACTTGCAGCAGACTCCATTTTAAACATTGATCATTTGGAATGTCCAGCAAACAGATTGGATCAAGATAGAATTACACGTGAGCCTTTACAGCATGTTGCAAAAGATATATTCATTGATTTAACAGAAGAAACTTCAAATGATAGTAAAGTAAATGAGAGTGAGTCTGCTTTGCCTGTGACAAGTTTAGATGAAGATAATAGTAGAAAAGAAGAGGAACATCTGACAAATGAACATTTGGAATGTATTGTTGAGAGCACATATATTGATTTGACAGTAGATCCTCCTAGTGAGAGTGTATTAAGTAAGGATAATATTAGATTAGAATCTGCATTAAATACGGATCATTTAGAATGCAATGGAGTTTCAACAAACATGCAGAAAAAGCGAAAAAACCATTCTGATCTCAATTATTCCACTAAAAAACAAAGAATTGAAACTGAATTATCCAGTGAAGAAAACAAAAGTACTGAAAGTTCTGAAGACAGTGATGCAGCTCACCAAAAGACATCTAATAAGAAAAAAGCAATGCCAGAGAATAAAGATGCCTCATCATCAACCTTTCCCTCTCCTACAAGTCTTTCAGCAAAGAATGTTATTAAAAAAAAGGGAGAAGTTGTGATTTCATGGACGAGGTAAGGTGTTCTATGTGATATTTTAATATATGTATATTTTAAAACTGTATTTTCAGAGATTGGGAATTCTTAACTATACAGTTAATGTATTTGGGAAGAGAGAACCATGCCATTATACTTTCCTCTCCACACAGTTGAAGGGTATACTTCCAAAGGAGTCAGTATTATACCTAAAGTAGGCAGAGTAGTGGGGTTTATACCAGTGACTAATGCATTCCTCTAGTGTGGAATGGCTTATTGTAAGATCATTCATTTTAGGGGGTAAAACTTCTAGAATTTATCACTGACAATTATTTTTCAAATGTAAGTGCTTGTATTTCAGCTGTAGCTAATGGTGCACCTCCAAGTGCTATTCATTCGTAAGCTCTCATATATTTGTTTTGAATTGTGAAATTAAAAAAGACAGGTTTTTTTTATAACATAATAATGTTAACTAACATTTATCTAGTACTTAAAGGTTTATAGAGTCCTTTGTATATATTGTCTCATTGATTCACACAACAATCCCTTAAGGTATGATTATCTTCATTTTACAGATGAGGAAAATGAAGATGACAGGTTAAGTTAACTTTTACAGGGTCATACAGCTAGTTAAATCACTATTGTCAGAGCATGAGTTCCTATGTATAGTAGTAAGTCTTCTCATGCAATTTTCTGTTATTTGGGGGAATCAGAATGCCTATAGGGTGCTAACTTATATTCCTGGAACCTAGAGCTATGACTAAATGTACACAGACATTTTAAATTCATTATATTGGTAGTATTCCTCTAATCTGATGTATATAAGCAAAATAATATTTGTTTTTTTCCCTTAGAGATGATGACAGGGAAATTCTGTTGGAGTGTCAGAAAAGAGGACCATCAGCAAAAACTTTTACTTTCCTAGCTACCAAGTTGAATAAAAGCCCAAATCAGGTATCTTAAATTTTGTTCTTACTGTATCTCATTAATTTTGTGACCATAAATGCACAAATTCACATTTATTAATTATGACACATGTGTACCCATCAGTTGACCTTACTATTAATAACTTTCCTACCACCTGATATTGATAATAGCACTTTATGGTTTCACAAAATACTACCACATATATTATCTCATGTGATCCTCACAAATACTCTGGAAATCAGTGGAACAAGTAGTTTCATTTTGCACATGAGGAAATTCATGCCCTTATAGTAAATGTCAAACTTAGAGATGAGATCATGGCATCTTATGAAATTTTAATAAAAATTGCAGTTGTTACTGAAATCTTGGGTATTAAAATGCTTTTTTTAATTTTTCAGGTTTCAGAAAGATTCCAGCAATTAATGAAGCTGTTTGAAAAGTTGAAATGCAGGTAGTTAATGCTTCTTGACAGTCTTCAGACTGAGTTTTTCAGCAGTTTCTCTGTTCAGAATGACTGACTTGCTGCATAAATTCCCAAAAGTAGTTTACAAACTACTTCCAAAAGTAGTTTAGAACAGAGGTGTCAAATAGACAGCCTGCAACATTTCCAAGTAGGGTCTGAACCATTTTGAAATGAAATTGGGAAATACTTAATAAGATAAATAAAAATAAAGTAAAGCAGATAATGAAGCATTTAAAATTAAATCATTATGCAGACTGCAAAGATCCTTATGTATGCATTAGTGGCCTCTGTTTCTATTTAAATTTGACACCCCTGGTTCAGAAAATAAAATTGAATTTGTGAAAGGTTAAACAGAACAACTGACAGTTAAAAATGTGTTTGTTATAAAATTGAGTATATATCCTTTCATACTGATTTTGGAGAGATTTCTAAGGAACTGTTAAAAGTCTGTTATGGTTTGTATTTGGCACAAAGTTGTCAAGATTTTTGCAAGATTTATTCTGATTTATTCAGAAGTAACATGCAGTAGTGGATAAAGAGAGAGCCAGGAAGACATGGATTCAAGTACTCCCTCTCGTATAAGCTGGCTTTGTGACTGTGGTCAATTAACTTAAATTCACAATGCCCCAGGAAATACTCTTAAGATTTTAAGTAGTAGAAGAGTTGGAGAACTGCATTAGGACAATGAGTTTTCTCTCTGAGGATCTCCCCACCCCAGTAAATCACAGGCCTGCACCAAAAGTTATTTTGAAAATCTCTCTTGACCTTTGAGTTTTCATTATTAGTTAGATGTTATCTGAAAGTACATATTACATTCATTTGTAAACATATAATAATGTTTGTTAAACTATTTTAATTTTAGAATTGATACTCATTATTTAGAAAATTATAATTATGATATTGCAATTTAAGCTGATTTTGTATTTTAGACTTAAATTTGGCTACAGTTGGGCTATTATGTTACTTTGTTCTTATTGCATTATTACAATTTTAGACTGGCTTATATTTTCTCAAATATTGTTAGTCTCATTATAGTCTCTTCGTGACAACAGAGTAAAAAATTTGAATTGTAAAGTTGGCCTTTTCAGCTCCTAAATTCAGTGCCATTATCTATTATCCATTATCTGTCTATTCAAAAGATCCACCCTGTAAGAAATTTGAGTATCAGAAAGATAGGATATTAATATTTAGCCTCTTCCTTGCTTTACAGATAATTTGCTGAATTCCTTGGAGTCATAGTTGACACTTTGTACTACATGGAAGTTCAAAATCCTCATACTTTAAATAAATCTACTGAAAAGTCTGTGGACTTTTTTTAAAAAAGGAGGCTTTAATCCCTCTGTGGCATTTCTATATTTTTTTCCATTCATTGACTGACTCAATTCAATTTTTTAGTTATTTCAGTGACAAATAAACCTGATATAAGTCAGGTTGTTATTTTTTTTTTATGGTTCTAGCTGAGTAATTTACATGTTTTTGTGGCATAGTTATTTTCTAATATGTTAAAATGCCCATATCTGTATAAAAATGTAAGCAACACCACTTTGATTGTATAAAAAGTTTGCCTTTGATTTTTCAAAATAACAACACAACTGAAACTCCAGCCCACTACCCCCAGTTTCATGGGGTTTGGATTTTTAACTACAAATGTATTTATAGTTTTATATCAGTTTTTTCATGCTTCTGCTTATGTCTCCTCTTATTTTGGTAAATTGTAAAAACTCTTTAAAATGTTTCTGTAAATATATATAAATCTATGTATGGATGTATAAAAACCCTTGTTTTGTGAGTGTGTGTGTGGGTGTACATATATATATATATATATATATATATACACATACATATATGGCTTTGCCTAGCCAAAGATTTTTAACTGTACAAATTTTTTTTGGTATAATTTAAGTTTGATTACTGTAACAGTAATGTGACAAAATAAAACCTGGAAAGTTGTTTGAGTTTTTATTACTTCTTTAGAATGTGCTTAATTATACACACTTTCTCTATGAATTTTGGTAGCTTTTGCACAAAATTATTTTATGACAAAATATTGCATTATATTTTTGTGCCACAATTTTTAACCATTCCCAGTGGGAGGATACCTCATTAGTTTCCAATTTTGGGTTACCAAAAAAGAGCTTCTATAAATATTTTTGTGCACATAGATTGTTTTCCTCTTTGATTTTTTTTTTTTTTTGCTTTTTTGGTGAGGCAGTCTGTGTGTTAAGGTGACTTTCCTAAGGTCACACAGCTAGTATGTATCATGTGTCTGAGGCTGAACTCAGGTCCTCTTGATTCCAGGGCCGGTGCTTTATCCCTTGTGTTACTTAGCTGCTCCTCCTCTTTGATTTCTTTGGAGCATAGGCCTTTTAGTGCTCTGTCTGGGTGGTTGGGTATACACTGTATGGTAACTTTCTGGGTATGGTTCCAAATTACTTTCCAGAATAATGGCGCCAATTCATAACTATACCAATAGTGCGCATTCCTGCCCCCTTGCCCCTCATTTGTCATTTTCCTTTTTTGCCATCTTTGTAAATCTGATAGGTTTGATAACCTCAAAATTTCTTTAATTTGCATTTCTCCAGTGATTCAGAACATTTTATTTTATTTTCATATGATTGTTGATAGCTTTCACTTCTTCCTTTGAAAACTGCCTTTTTATATCCTTTGACCGTGTATCTTTTGGGGAATGGCTCTTAGTCTTATAAATTTCTCAATCAGCTTCTTATGTATTTTGAAAATGAGATCTTTATCCAAGAATCTTGTTGCAAAGATTTTCCCATTTGCATATTTCCTTCTAATTTTTACTAGATTGGTTTGTGTAAAAGCCTTGTCTGTTTTACATGATCTTTTATCACTTATTTTTTTTAGAAACTCTTCCCTTATCAATAAATCTTATAGGTAATTTTCTTGGTTCTCTAATTTATGATACGACTTTTTGTATCTTAAGTTGTATATCCATTTGGAAGTTATTTTGGTGTTTGGTGTGAGATGTTGGTCTTAACCTAATTCCTTTCAAACTACTATCTAATTTTCCTAGAATTTTTTTGTCAGATAGTAAGTCCTTTCCTCAGTACTTGAAGTCTTTGAGAGTATTTTACATCATGCTGTGGTATTTGTTTGCTTCTGAATGTTGTATATCTGATCTGTTCTATTGATCAAGCTCTCTTTTCTTTTGACCACTGCCAAGTCATCTTTATGATTATTGCTTTGTAGTACATTGGAGATCTAGTACTAATAGATACCCTTCCTTCCCACTTCTTTTTTCATTATTACCTTGTAATTCTTGACCTTCTGTTCTTCTGTATGAATTTTGTTTTTTTTTTCTAGGTCTGTAAAATACTAGTTTGATTGATACAGCTCTGACTAAGTAAATTTGTGTTGTATTATCTCAAACTGTCCATGACATTTAATATTCCTTCACTTAATTAGGTCTGTCACATTTCTGCAAAAGCATTTTATAGTTACATTCAAATCATCCCTGGGCGAATTTTGGAAGATACATTCACAAGTATTTTATAGCTTCTGTATTTACTTTGAATACAATTCTCTTTCTAGCCCTTCTTGCTGGGTTTTGTTGGTCATAAGTAGGAATGCTAGTGGTTTATATGGATTTATCTTCTGTCCTGCATCTTTTAAAAAGTTCTATTTCAGTTAGTTTTTAGTTGATTCTCTTGGTTTCTCTAAGTACACTGTTATAGCATCTGCAGAAAATGATAATTTTATTTACTTTTTGTTCTTATTTCTTCTATTCCTTTTTCTTGCTTTATTGTTACAGCTAGCATTTAGCATTATTAAATTGTAGTAGTGATAGTGGGCAGCTTTGCTTTGCCATTGGTCTTATTGGACAGGCCTTTTACTTTTCACCATTAAATATGTTTGTTCTTGGATTTATATATATACTATTTAAGTGTTAAGGAAAAGGCCCATTTATTCCTATGATTTCTAGATTTTTTAATAGAAATGAGTGTTGGGTTTTGTCAAAAGCCTTTCCAGTATCTGTTGATAAGATTTTTGTTATTTAGATTATTAACATTGCTTAATATATTTATCATGTTTCTTTACATTGAACAAACCTGGAATTCCTGACATAAACTCATCCTGGTCAATGTATAGTTTTTCTAATATTCAGATTGTCCTCCTTGTTAATATGTTATTTTAAAATTTTTCATCAGTGTTCATTAAGGCTGTTGGTCTGTACATTTCTTTTACTGTTCTGCTTCTTCCTGGTTTAGGTGTCTAGACTATTATTTGTATCATAGAATGAGTATGGAAGTCATACCATCTTATTTCCACATAGTTTATGTGGTTTTAGAATTAATTGTTCTTTGAATGTTTGGTAGGATTTGCTTATAAATCTATCTGGTCCTAGGTTTTTTTTAGGGGAGTTCATTTATGGCTTATTCAATATCTTTTTCTGATATTTGATTACCCTAAGTGGTCTGTTTCTTCTTTTGTTAATCTGGGAATTTTGTATTTTGTAAATAGTCATATATTTCTTCTTATCAGTTTTGTTAACATATAACTGGGCAAAATAGTTTCTGATAATTTCCTCTATTTTTCAGTTATTATAAGCACTCTTTCATTTTTGATATGAATAATTCTGTTTCCCATTTTTAAAAAAAAATCAGATTAGCTATTTAATGTGCATTAATTTTTTGAAAATGAGCTCCTAGAACATTCTGCACAGTAATGGCCACAATGTGCAATGACTGATTTTGATAGACTCATCTCTTCTTAGCAATGCAAGGATCCAAGACAACTCCAAAGGACTCATAATGGAAAGTGCTGTCCACATCCAGAAAAAGAGCTATGGAGTTTGAATGCAGATGGAAGCATACTATTTTCTCTTTATTTTTTATTTTTTGTGTTTTTTTCCGTTTGTTCTGATTCTTCTTTCACAACATGACTAATGTGGAAATATGTTTAATATGATTGTGCAAGAATAGCCTATATCAGATTGCTTGCCATTTTGGGGAGGGGTGAAGGAAGGGTGGGAGGAAAATTTAGAACTCAAAATTCTATAAAAGTGAATGTTGATAACTATCTTTACATGTGATTGGAAAAAATAAAATACTATTAAGTGGGGAAAAAATTAAAAAAATTTGTTCTAAATTCTCCTTCCACTTCTTCCCTACCCATTGAGAATGCAAGTAATGTGATAGCAATTATACATGTGAAATCATGCAAAACACATTACATATTAGCCATGCTGAAAAAAAAAGGCAAAAAAAAATCGAGGAAAAAGTATCCTTTTGTCTGTACTCACAGTTCATCAGTTCTCTCTGGATGTGGATGGCATTTTTTGTTGTGAATCTTTTGGAATTTTCTTGGATCGTTGTATCGATTAGAGAAACTTAAGTCTTTCACAGTTGATCTTCATTACAACATTGCTGTTCCTGTGTACAGTATTCACCTAGTTCTGCTCGCTTCACTTTGCATCAGTTCATTTAAGTCTTCCCAGTTTTTTCTGAAACCATCCCCCTTATTTTTTATAGCACAGTATTCAATCATAATCACGTACCACATTAGTTGTGTATGTTGACTTGAAGTTTGTTTAATTGCATGCTTAATTCATTGATTTGTTATTTTTCTCTTTTGTTGATGAAAGTATTTAGAGATTGAAAATTTTCCCTCAGAGCTCCTTTATCTTTGTTACGTTAATTTTTTATGTGTTGTCTCATTATTGTAATTTTCTCTGAAATTTTCTCTTATGTCTATAATTTATTTGATCTATCAGTTCTTCAGAATTTTGTTAGTCTCCATTTATTTTTAAATTTTTTAAAGGGCCTTATTGAATATAATTTTATTATATTGTGACCAGTAAGTTATATATTTAGTATTTCTATTTTTCTATATTTTTTGAAGTCTTTATGCCCCACCAAATAATTGTTTTTTTTTTAAAGATGCCGTATACAGCGAGAAGTATATAAATCCTTTTTATTCACGTTTAATCACCAGAAGTTTACTTTAAGTATTTAAAGTTTGTTATCACACACATATATACAAGGGTGTTTTAAAAAGCCTTAGTGCAGTTTTAAGCTTTAACACACTTTTGGGACACTGTACTAAGTATTGATAATGATTTGTTATCTGTGATGTCTTTTAGCATAATGTAACTTTCCTGCTTATCTCTTTTTGTCTTTTCTATATTTAATATAGCCTTATCTGAAATAGTGATTTCTACCCTTAATTTTTTTAGTTCAGTTGAAGCTTTCCAGATTTTACTCAAGTTCTTCATTTTAACTCTATGTGAATCATATTTCAAGGGTATTTCTTTTAAACCACATATTTTTAGATTCTGTTTTCTAAGCCATCCTGTTATCCTTTTCCATTCTATGCTTGAATTCATCCCAATCATATTCATGGTTTAGGATTGTTAATTTTATATTTCCTGCTACCCTGTCCTCTAGTAATTTTTCTTCTGTTTCTTTTTCCCTCCTTATAAATAAGGAGGTAGAAGACAGAATTTGTCTTACACTTAAAATCTCGTAAGTGAAATGGTCTATTTCTTCTCTGTTATAGCTTTTATCTTTTCCTTATCCCACCTCTGATCTCAGGTTTTTACTCTTTCTTCCTTCCCTTTTAATCTTCCTTTCTTGCTCCTTCAATATTTGAGATTATTTTGCTTATGATTATTTCTTATCCTCCCCTCCCTTGTCCCTGGCAGCTCCTTGTATTTCCCCCTTTGAATTAAACATATTTCTCTGTGTATGTGCAATTGTATTCAGTATTCCTTTCTCTAATTCAGTTGAAAGTGATGTTCATGGGATGTCCTTTCATGGCTATAAACTTTTCATTTTATGTTCCTCTATTATTCAATAGCATTTCCCCTCCTTTTCAACCCTTCTACCCTGCACTTTAGTTCCTTTTTCTTCCTGTTTTTGTCTTTTTCTAAGATTGTCAAAACAAAACCACTCACAGACCCTCTGTCATTTTGACTTTTCTCTCTGACTCTTAAAAAT